TGAATATTTTTCTCGAAGTATAATTGATGATCTTGATGTTCATAATAAAGGTGTTTGGCATATTTCTACTGTGTATAGGTGTAATGCTGTTAATAAAAGAAGGGAAATTTGGAGGAACCAAGCCATGGAGGTTGAAAGGATGGGTTGGATGAACCATAGTCAAGTGACAAAGGTCATAAGAATTGTAGTTGGGTAATGGTGGTTGAAGGAACCACAATTAGGAGATGGAGATCAGATGGACCATAGTAAGGTAACAGAGATTGAAGGGACCATCGTAGGGTGACTAAGTTCAAAAGGACTACAGTCAAGCTATAGGTCAGAGGGATTATAGTTGGGTGACAGTGGTTTGGGAACTATAGTTAATGAATGATGGAGGTTAGAAGGGTTGTAAATAGGCAACGGTAGTTCGAGGATCTTAGTCAGTAGGAAACTAAAGTTGAATGGTCATAGTCTGGTAACCGTTGTCTGAGGACTTTAGTCAATAAGAAATGAAGGTCATAAAGTCTTTGGTTAGGAAATAGTGCTTTTAGAGATGTAATCAAGCAATGGTGGTTCAAGGATCATTGTCGATAAGTGACTAAGGTTAGATGGACTCTAGTCTGATGATGGTTATTTTAGTACCATAGTTAGGTGATAGTTTTCTTTGGACCATTGTCTAATGATGGACGTTGAAGGGATCGTAATAAGGTGATAGAGGTTGATGGGAAAATAGTTTGGCAAAGGACGTTAGGAACTGTAGTCAAGTGACTGTAGTTGGAGGCACTATAGTCTAGTGACTACATTTAGAGAGATTATAGTTGGGCAATTGAGGCAAAAGAGACCTTAGGTGGGTAATAGTAGTCTTAGGATCATACTTAAAAGGACTTTAGTTCCAAGTGATGAAGGTCAAAGGCACCATAGTTGGGTGATAGAGATCATATTGCAAACGCCAAGAAGAGACCCAACGATTGTGGCTGGATTGTGGTTCGATACTGATAGTTTGGGTAGAGGTCCGAAAATAATGTTCAGGAAAAGATGGTGTGGAACGTGTTGAAGAATGATCTTGTGATTAGGAGCTAGTGATGTTAGAAGTGCTTGGCCAGTGTGTTGGATGGTTGCAATAGAGAATGAATTAGGACCAGCATAGGGGAAAAGGTTAATGAATGAGATTAATGACTATCATACGATGAGCATAAGCCTTACAGTTTAGGTACCAGTCAGTGGATGAACCTTACTAGTGTTTCTTAAAAAGACCAATAGAGGATGAGATATTGTTGGGTTGATAACCTATGTTACAAAAATGCTAGCAGTGCAATACATAATTTCCAACTTTCCCACAGATTTTGCATTGCGAGCGAGGTGAGAATTTGGGATGAGAGATGTGGGAAGCAGGGTTGCGACCACAGAAATTAGCTTGGGGAGATGAGCGACCACATCAATAGTAGAGGAACATGCTTTAATTTTGTGGGAAGGGCAAATTATTCAATTGCTAGAATAGGAAGTTGGAGTACTCTGTTTGAACATTAACTTCTTTAGTGTAGAGGAGTTAGTAGAGGTCTTCAATGCTTATGGGAGTTAGGATGGTGTAAATGGTTATCTTAAAAGTTTCGTAGGAAAGAGGCAAGTTATTAAGAGTGTAGAGAATAATGTCTTCAGTGTCGAGATGAGAACTAGCAATAGAAATGCTATCTACCAAGGCTTTAATATTGGTGAGGTACTTGGTCATGGGAAGATCTTTCATCTGCATATGGTGAAGCTCGTTTTTTAGCTGGATCATCTTGGAGAGATTAGAGGGTTGAAGTCGTTTATCAAGAGAAGACCAGACTTCATGAGTTGTATGTAAAGTGAGGACATAGGGGAGAAATAGGGTGTAATGGTGGAGAAGAGAGTTGAAGCAATGATTTGATCCAGAAGTTTCTAGGAGTTATAGGCTTGATTGGGGTTAATGTCACCAACAGGAGAAGTGATGTATTTTGACGAGCAAGTCTGAGAGCTAGTAAAAAATCCTTCAAATCCATTTGAAGTAAACATCTTGAGAATATGATGTTTTCATATATGAAAATTTTTATTGGTAAGTTAAATGTTGAAAATATGTTTATGATTGGATATATGAAATTTGAGAGAAGAGGGGATATTAATATATGTCAGCTAAGAGGAGGTGTTAGAGTCCGGTAGTTGGGTGGAGTTGGGGCTAGAATCGCCCATGTAAATAGGAGCAGCTGTTAAACAATTTGCTCTGATATCATGAGAGTGATTCTATTGAACTTATATTGATAATAGTATAAAGTAATAACAATAACATGCATACAAAATAGTATGAAGTCGTTAGAGACCAGTGGTAAGGATGAAGCCATATGTATTCATAATGTGTTGATAGCAAAGAATAAACAAGGAGCTGCTGTTGATCAGAGAAGTGGGTATAAAGAGACCGCAATAGGAAATTGCCTGTATAGGTGTTGATTGTTTATAATGGGTAACAAACATTTGTAACATTTATTTTTTCTAACAAGACATACATAGTCAGTTTTAATATCCATATGCATTTTAGTTTTGTTTAGATTATTTCTCACTTTATTTGAAAACTTGATAGAAAATAAGTTTCAACAATGAAAATCAAAACTTTCGATTCTCTTGAGTTTATCTTTCTAATATTTTTGATTTTCTTCCTTGTTCTCCTTTACTTTTAGTTTCTTCATATTAGGATACAAATAAAGCTACATGGCTTAACATATTATTACTTTAATGGAGAAGAAGCAAGACAAACTTTTAGGTTCAGGAATGATTAATGAACCTCTTTGAGTCTGTTATATGAATGCGAAGGTACGTAGAAGGTCATGATTTTTTGCCTATTTGAAATGAAACTATGGATTTGATCAGCTTTATTGACTCAAAATTCTACAAACATGTCGTTGATCAACTCTTCATTGTTTAAATATCTCACAATTATAAAAAGGCTACATGAGCCAAAGTTTAGTGAGCTCTAGTACTATTCTAATATGCTCATTAAGAAAAGAAACAAAAAAAAAGTTTATGTTTATGTTTCAAGTCGAACGTTAATGTACATAAAATCATATAAGCATGCATGAACAAAGATTCATGTGCATACTTTTATGCATATATAAAGCATAATTAAGCTATTATTGAACCAAGAATGAATAAAGTCTCATTCATATTTGACTCACTTTATGAAAATTAGTTGGATTTGAGCTAGTTTTCGAGCTAAAAAATATGAACAACAAGCTTATATATACATTACCATTAGTACATAACTATATAATTTCATAGAGTGGTATGCAGTCTACATCAAATATAATTTCTTTAATATATTTGAAAAAAAATAATATAACAAATTATTATGATGCATTATTTTTTACACATATTTTTAATTTCATATATCACATATATTCTCTCAATGTAATTAAATAATTAAGAATTTACAATGCCTTTTTCTATAGTATTTATACTTGTGAATCTCTAATAATTTAACTATATGGTCTAATAATTTAATTATAATAAGGGATATTATAAAATGTGTAAATTAAAGACGTTTTTTATATATAAATGGTCCTATCTAAATCAATGTTTTAAAAACGGATCGGATCAGTCGGTTCGACCGATTCAGTCTTAAAACAACTTCTGCATCGGACCGGACTGAATCGATCAGAACCGTCAGTATGGACTGATGAACCAACTCCGATTATTTTAAACCGGCTCCGATTATTTAGAATATTTTAATATAATTTATATCAATCGTCTTAAAGTTTAATACATTTATTTTAAAATTATTGTTGATAGAAAAAATATGTTGTATTAATTTCAAAATAAATTTAACAATTTTTAAATTCATGCTCAAATAATTTATATTAAATTATTCTCATGTAAAATTTTCCTTCAATAATGAAGGATCGTCAATGCGCGGACTCTACAGCGCTCATGGCATGCGCGTGCGCGTGCGCCTTTGCCAATTCACGAACCCACGCGCGCGAACTGCCCCCACTAATCCACCCACCGTAACTACAGTAGCTGTACCTCTGCTCCAACCGCCGCTCGTAGTGCAGCCGTGTTATTTGCAAGCAGCGCCGGCGTTATCTGTCGAGCTGGGAAGAGAAGGCAATGAAGACTCAATGGTTTTAGATGTATGGTGGTGGGGTTTAGGGGAACCAAGTGGCCCCACCATCTGCACTTTATACATATCTATAATCATCGTGTCTGAATTAGTAGGTGTGTGCACTTCAATACAAGTTGGGTGTTCACCGTTGGGGTGCAACCGAGTCGAGTCAGGAGGTGTTCGAGTCGAGTTCAGCTGTCGAAAATCAAGCTCGAGCTTAAACTCGAGTCGAGCTCAAAATTCGAGCTCGAGCTCAACTCAACAGAGAAAAAGTGAGCTCGTCGAGCGGGATATCAAACCATATTCGCTAGCGTCTGTCAACTTCGCCAACGTCGTTGTCCATCGCAGACGCCGTCGTCGTCCAGCACTGTTGTGAGACCTTTGTTGTTGTCCGTCGCAGACGTCCTAGATGTCGTCGCCCGCTTCCGCTTCTGTTTCTATTGTCCGTCGTAGACCTTAGCTAGTTGTCTTCGATGTCGTCGCCGAGCGTAACATCCGTGGTAAGCGTCCCGTCCGAGCGTCAAATTGGATTTTCCCGCTCGCCTTTTCGATTTCCCACTTGCAAATAGCATTTTCCGCCTACTAGCTCCGTTGTCGAGCTGCTCGTTGATTCAACGAGTCGAGTCCGACTTCTGTTCGTTCTTAATTCGATAAGCCTTCGAGCTCGAAATTGTGTTCGAGCTCGACTCGTCGAGCCGGTTACCGAGTTAAATTCAAGCTGACTCACGAGCCGACTTACTCAATTACACCCCTAATTTTCAGTGTTGTAATGTGTCTTACCGTGTTCGGTTTGAATATTTTGATGTTATTCATAGCAGGTTGGATAATTTTCAAGTGCAACCCGTACGTACTACTGTTATCCTCTCCTAAATATTAATTGCAGGACCACTACCACGTCGTGCTGTCCATAGGTTCCTGCACGCTTCTCCTTCTCTCTCTCTGTTCTCCTACTATGATTCTGCCTCCACTGCACCGTACAGAGCCACTACATTCTCCAGCAACTCTTAATTAGCAATTGCTGCATCGCCTTTTAAAGAGAGAGGAGCAGGAGAGAAAATGAATTAAGGATCCAAAGCTCGATGGAGAGAAGATCGATAGCTAAATCTAAAGGGAAGAGCACTACTGTTGGTGGTGGTGGTGGTAAGTTCAAATGAAATGACTTGTTTTCAGTTAACTATAATATTGCATTAACATAGTTCTTTTAATCCTCTGAAGCGAACTGCAAAGGTGGATCAGTTTCTCCGTCGAGAAAATCAGATGAAAATGGGCAATTGAAGGGCTGGGAAGATGATGGGGAAGAGGAGGAAGAGGAGATGGATTTCTGCCATGAGAGTGTGAGGAAGAAGATGGGGGTTTTGGCGAAGTTGGTGGGAATGGAAGGGTGCGGCGGCCAGCCGGCGGTGGTGCTCACAGAGGTTGTGCGCGTTCTCAAGGAGTTGGACGGTCAAGCCAGGGTTGTTTGTGGCTCAACTAAACCTTCTGATACCTCTCCTTGTGGACTTTAGGAACAAACAAATAACGACCAAATGACCATACATAATTTTGTACTCAAAATAAGTGGAGTACAGTATTGTTTGTGTATTCTGATACTCTGTCTGCAATTAATTATTTTTTTGAAGCAATTTTTTTTTTTTTTTTACTTAAAACTCTTCAACCGGCCTACGTGTAAATTCATCAAAAGTATTATAAGTTCTTAAAAGGATCAAATGCTCTCTACTGCTGAAAGAGCAATAAAAAACATAAATCAAAAGTATTATAAGTTCTTAAAAGGATCAAATGCTCTCTATGCTGAAAGAGCAATAAAAAACATAAAAAAGAATCGTAATGAGCCAAATATCCCAACTATAATTCAAGATAAAATACAAAAAGAAAAACAATTTCAAACAAAAAAAAAACTACCGTAGGCAAGGAGCCAAGCCTAAAAAATGAAGATGAATCATCTCCAGAGCCAAAGCTAAAGCTCGAACAGGATGAAAAGCAACATCCTTCAAAACAAGTGCCAAAAAGAGAGCCTAAATCAGAAAAAAAAAAATCACAGAGGAGCAACCCTTATAGATGCCGAAACCCACAATATGCAAAGATAAAAATCTATGCCTTCAAAAGAAAGAGCTCAACAAATCATAAAGTCAATTATAACACAAAAATGATTAATAAAGTTATCAATCCATCAACAGGCTCAGTAGTCAAAGGGAACAATCCAACTAAGCTAACATTAGCAACCAAAAGAGCCATAACCTCTAACAGCAACCAGAACAATATTACCAATAGAAGAAACAATAATATAGAGGAAAGAGGACCACATAACAAAAGCTCAACAAGAGACAAAAAAATCAACAATATAACTCCGCCAAAGCATGCCAACAATAAAAACCAACAGAGAAAACACCAACCAAGAATACTCAAACAATATAAACAAAAGATAGAGAACCACCAATCAAAGAAACTAACAAATAATTCTAGACTCGAGAATGAGAACTAAAATAAACCAAAAGAACCAATTGCATCAAATACAACAGCATAAATGAACGATCCCACAGATACCGAAGAACTTCTAGAACTCCAGTTAAGCTAACAAGCCTAGCAGGAAGGAAAAAAACAACCAACAATAGACTCAACCTGGTGTTAGGGAAGCCTTAAAAGAGATAACATAAAACCCTTAAAAGATATTGTTTCAATCTGATGTCTGGGAAGCCAATGCATGTTATCTATCCTCCCAAACAATGCTTGATTTACATGAAGCTTAATTAGGATGAAAAATCAACATCATGAAAAATAATTGCTAAAAAGAGATAGCCTGAACCAAAAAAAAAAACACAAAGAGGAACAAACCTTATAGATGCCAAAAGCCCAAATATGCAAAGATAAGAATATATGCCTGCACAAGAACGAGCTTAAAAAAAGATAGAGTCAATCATGAGACAAAAATTATTAATAAAGTTATCAAACTAATAGCATGCACAGCAACTAAAGGGAAGAATCCCACAATGCTAACATTAGCAATGAAGAGAGGCATAACCTCTAACAACTACCACGACAATGAAAGCACAATATTACCAATAGAAGCCACAAAATGGAGGAAAGAGGACCACATAACAAAATTCCAACAAGAGAAAAAAAACAAACGAATAATAGAGCACTGCAAGAGCATGCCACCAACCAAAGCCAACAGGAAAAACACTAGCTAAAGAATACCAAAAAAACATAAATAGAAGATAGAGAACCACCAATCAGATAACCCAACAAATAAGTCTAGCCTCAAGAAGGATAACTAAAATAACTCAAAAAGAACGAATTGCAATAAATACAACATTAGAAATGTACGATCCCACATATACCAAAGAACTTGTGGAAATCCAGCCAAGCAAATAAGCCCAATAGGATGGAAGAAATAATCAACAATAGACTCAAGTTGATAAGAACCATCAACCCAGCCATAAGCATTAAACCCTAAACAGATATTATTTAAATTTGATGTCAGGGAAGCTAATGTTATCCATCCACCTCAGAAAAGCTTTATTTACGTGAAGCTCGACCTGGATGAAAAAGCTACATCTTGCAAAACAAAGGGCAAAAATAGAAAGCCCAAACAAGAAACAAAAAAGAAATCATATAAGAGAAAACCTTATACATGCCAAAAGCCAAAATCTGAAAAGAAAAGAATCTATGCCTGCATAAGTAAGAGCTCAACAAACCATAGAGTCAATCATAACACAAAAATGATTAAGAAAGTTATCAAACTAGCAGCACACAAGACAGTCAAAGGGAAGAATCCAGCCAAGCTTACATTAGCAACCAAGAGAGCCATAACCTCTAAAAGCAACCACGATAATGAAAGAATAATAATACCAATAGAAGATGCCATAAAATGGAGGAAAGAGTACCACATAACAAATGCCCAACAAGAGAAAAAACAAACCTACAATAGAACACTGCTAGAGCAAGCCACCAACAAAAACCAATAAGGAATACACTAACCAAAGAATACTCAAACAACATAAATTTAAAATAGAGAACCACAAATCAAATAATCCAACAAATAATTCTAGCCTCAAGAAGGAGAACTTTAAAAAAACCAGTTGCAATAAATATAACAGCAGAAATGAACGATCCCACATATACCAAAGAACTTATATAAATCCAACCAAGCTATCAAGCCTAGCAGGAAGAAAGAGATAACCCAAAAATGAATCAACCTGATAAGAAACATCAACCCTGCCACAAACACGAAACCCCAAACAGAGATTATTTCAATCTAATGTAAGGGAAGCCAATGCTATCCATCCTCACCATTCCCTTAATATCATAAAGATTATTCATCCTAATATAAGTCAAAGAGTTAGGAATAGAATTGGCTTTTTTAGCAAATCAATCTGCAATAATATTTCCCTCTCTCCAAATATGAGAGATTATATAATAAAAATACTCAAAAAGTTGCATAATTTTTTTATACAAATAGTATAAGGAAGCATCTTTATAATGCCTTTATGATATAGATATATAAACACTTTGGAAACCAGTTCTATTCAAATAATATCCCAGTGGTTGTTAACACAATTCTTAAGAGCATGTTGAAGAGCCTGCATTTCATCCATAATGGCAAAACATTTCAGAATCTGGTAAGAAAAAACAAGAAGAAAATTTCCTTTTGAATCTTTAATAATACCACCACACCTTGCAACTATTTTATTAGCAAAACCATCAATGTTAACATTATATTTATTTAAAATAGGCTTTCTCCAACAAAAATAATAGCGTGACCTTCAAAGCTATTTTTACGATGGTATAAGTTAAAGAAAACATCCCAAGAAGAATAACCCCTCAAATGTTTGGTTTATAAGAGATTCTTAGTATGAAGTAGGTGAATTTTGTTTTTGAGACCAATGATGATTCTGTCAGTATTCATTTTAATGTATTAATACTTAGTATTATTCCTCTATATATATAAAAGTAAAAAAAAAACAAATATAAGAACATTAATAACAATGTGACCCTTAATGTGATTTGAAAATCAATTCTCGAGCATATCCAAATAAATAGAAATATTAGGCCTAAAATTAATAATAAGAGCACAACCTAATATAGCCCAAACTCTAGATGCATTAGGGCTATTAAGGAAAACATGATTAAAAGACTCCACATTAGCATAACATTGACATTTAGAGGGGATACAAAACCCTTCTCTTTTTAAGTCTCTCATCATTTGGAGTGTAACCTTTAACAGACCTCTAATTAAATAACGAAATATTAGAAGAGTCACTGAATTCCAAATTTTCTCATAAATAATGTTGTGAACCTTTTTTTATTTCTAAAATTATTCCAAACCTCATTAACATTGAAATTTCCATTAGTAGAATTCTTAAAGATGATAAAATCATTGGACTACATATTTATAGAAATCTAATAAATAATGTCAACAATATGATTAGGGATATACTCCAAAAGATGGTTTCTATTCAAAGTAGCATTCAAAATAAATTGAGATACCTTTAGGTTAGATATAGAGTACGTATTATATAAAGAATATAAAGAGCCTGACCCCAACAAGTCATCTTGCTGTAAATAATAACATCCATTAACAATACACCATTGGAGATGATGTTCCCCGCAATTAGACTTCCAAGAAGACCAATGGATCATCTTATTATCCTAGGAAGAGCTCAAAAAAATTTTATTGATAAATTGAGCAAAACGCTAAAGAGGATTAACAAGTTGAAATAAATATATATAGGATGAGAGCATAAGACAATTTTAATTAAAACCAGCCTAGCTTTTATACAAAACAAATTTGAATCCCAAGTAGCAAATTTATTAAACATGCTAAAATTTATTTTATCGAACAAAAAAGATTTCTTATGACCTTTATGAATAGGAACACCCAAATAATGCAGGGGAAGGGATTGATTTTTAAAGCTAGTGATATTAGTAATTTTATTAAATTTATCCCTATTTATACATTTACCAATAATAAAGAAGCTTTTTTGCAAGTAAAATAAAGCCCACTTTTTGAATCAAAGGTCTCCAAACAATGATTAATTCTTTTCATATTTCTAAAATCACCATTGCTAAAAAAAAGGAAGTTATCAACAAAACAAAGGTGTGAAACATTAAAACCACTAGAGTTAATGAAAGAAAGACTAGTATATTTAGAAAAAAAATTAAAGCTCTTGAAAGATATTCAACTGTAAAGTTAAAAAGAGAAATAAATATATGGTCAACTTGTCTAACACCCTACTCAGCTTTAAAGAAATAATGAGATTCGCCATTCATAATAATAAAGAAACAAACAACTTCAATGATATTCCTAAATAAGTAAATGTATTGATTATTAAAACAAAAAATATCTCAACTTTTTCATATGAAATATCAATTAATGTTATCATAAGCTTTAGAAAAGTCCAATTTCAAAATGATGTTATGGCCAAGAACATTAAGATTAATATTATGTTTAATCTCCTAAGCTAACATTATATTGTCAATAATGTATCTACCTTTAACAAAAACCAATTTGATTTTCACAAATAATTTTGGGTAGAATGGAAACCATTCTAGAAGCCAGAATTTCGGAAATAACTTTATGAAAAATATTGCATAAGCTAATGGACCTAAAATAATTTTAAATTTTAGGACTGACACATTTGGGAAACAAAATAAC